GATGTACCTCCATGAGTCGATGCGATCGTCTCGAACTTCCGATCCACATGCTTCCATTCAGTTCGCATACAGTTTGCAAAGAGCCAATTGTAATTGGCGCGATTCTAGGCGGAAACTAGTCGACTTGTAGTGGCACTCCGTTCTGAAACATAGGAAGGGAAGTAGAGGGGAGAGAGTCAACCATGTTTATAATCGACCCGTGTACGGACGGCCGACCAGTTCTTGATTTCAAACGAAGGAACTGTTCTTCCAAACGGATAACTATTGTTTATCCGTTTGCCACTTGTCGAGTTGCTGTTTGTTCTGTTTTTCGTTTCTTTTTCCAAACGAAACAAAAGCTCTTTCTGCTTTGCAACGAACGAATCAGTACATCATGAAAATAACCCAACAGTTTTTTTATAAGACATGTGTCAACTGTTAAGTTTAGGGATGTAACTTTCATCTCCTATTATTATTGAAGGCTAGAAATAAACACTTACATTTTAGTTACTACGTTACTCAATTAAATTAAGTGTATTTGAAGACAAAATTAAACACTATCATGTTAAAATTAAAAAAAAATCAAAATTAAACGCAATTATGTTCTATAATCCTCGCGCGGACTCATTACCGCGTAGGGGAGTGTCCCACAGGTGGCAGATGTGGGGATGGTTGGTGGAAATTCCTCAGAAGTTCCTCCTAGCTTGGTCCGATGGACTCGCTGGCCAACAATGAGAGAGGCCCTCCATATTTGCTGGAGAGAGGGGACCTGCAGACTTGCTGGAGGGAGGGGACCTCCAGACTTGCTGGAAGGTGTGACGTAGGATAGGACGCCCTGCTCACATATCTATAGTTCACAAAGTACCAAACAGTCATGGATCCTCATAAGTAAAACTCTCATTATCCGGAAGCAAACTATTCCCCCGTTCGGGTTTCCGGGTGAGTACTGCGTTAGGCGATTCATGGCGCAAGTTGAAAACTAGAGATTTAAGTATAGCGATGTGTAACGTAAGGAGTTTGAACACAGCAGGTGGGTTAAAATCGGTCGGAAATGAGGTTAATGGGTACAATTTAGATATTTAGACATTGCAAGAGATTCGTTGGCCAGGGGAGGGATCTATTAAGGAAGGTAGGTACACTAAAGGAAATCATTGTTTAGGTGCCGGTTTTCTTATTAGGAATAGATTACTATCCGCTTAGAGAGGCATACAATTTTTAGCGGTAGGATTTCGGTGGCCATATTTCAGAGCGGTTGGTTTAAAATCGCGTTGATAAACATACACTGCCCGTCCGAAGACAGTGATGACGAAGCCAAATGCGAATTTTATGATAAACTGGAATAGGTTTAAGATAAACTACCGCGAAGCCACATAGAAATAATTTTAGGGGACGCTAACGCAAAGGAGGGAAGGGAAGAAGTTTATTTTAGGACGATAGGTAAAGAAAGTTTACACGATTATAGTAATGATAATGGAATTCGCCTAGTAAAATTGCTATATCGAAAAACCTAATAATTAAAAGTACTACGTTTAAACATAAGGATATTCACAAATATGCTTGACATCACTTGATTCACAAACACGAAATCACCTCTTGATATAACATAGGTGGCAAATTAGTATAATTAATGTAAGGTCTTATCGCGGGGCAAATGTGGGGCATGTCATCAATTAGTATTCGCAAGACGTCGACAAAAACAATATAAATAGGAGCAAAGAAAACCGTTTCGATTTCGGGAATTTTAATTTTGAAAAACTAAAAACTCCATCAATTAGTACTCAATTCGAGCTGGAAGTTACGAATAAGTTTGAAGCTTTAGAACTTTCTGAAAAGGCCTGCGATGATATAGACAAGTTATGGATAGGGATTAGTGATAATATTAAAGAAGTCGGTAACTTCTGTCTTGGTAAAAAGGAAAATAAAAATAACAAACCTTGGTTTGATAAAGATTGCTTAATCATGTGCAAAAAAAGAAAAACCGCTACAATAAAAGCTCTAAATAATCCTTAATAACTAGCGAAAACAATCTTGAATACTTCCGAGCCTTAAAGAATGAAACTACTGAATTGTTCAAAAATAAAAAAGGAAGTATCTTAAAAATAAAATAATAAATATAGAAGATAATAGAATCAAAAACAATGTAAGAGACATGTAAACAGCTATAAATAAATCACATAAATTTTTAGGACTCATAACGACTGGGATTAGGGATGAAAATAACAATATGTAAGCAGGGGATCCTAACAAAATAGTTAATCTGGTTAGGAAGTGGTTGAGGCAAACACTCAATAAAGTTAGAATCGGTTATTATTTACCCGAGAAATTTGAGGTTCCTTCGGGCTGAAAACAAGGAGATTCTCTTTCACCTGCCCTGTTTATTTTGGCATCAGAACATGCCATTAGAGAGGTAATAATAACGAAAAGGTTTGAACCTGGGTGGAACAATATGAGTGTTTGGGTATGCTGATGATTTCGTACTGTTAAGCGAAGACATGGAAACAATAAAACTAAATACTACAACGTTTATGAAAGCAGGTAAAGAACTAGGACTCGAGATAAATACAGATAAGACAAAATATAAGGTAACTGCAAAAACAGCGAAAATGTTGCTGATGATTGGGTTAAGGACGATTTGGCGGGGTTGGGTTTAGACAGAGCCCGGTGGATGGAAGAATGTGGACATCGATTGGTGGTATCAGCATCGAACCTTCGGGTTAGCTAAGCCTTATCATTATTATGTTCTATAAAAATTTAAAGAGGCCTACAGTTGAAAAAACGTTTAAACTACAGGTTATGATGAATGACCAAGCACCATCATTCATACCTGGAACAATACATGATAAAGGATTATGGCAAAAAGTTCATAACAAATTTTTTTGATAGAGTGGAAGTTCCTAAGCTCATGGATTGCATTGGATCAATCTTTAGGCTGGACAAAAAGATGTCTCAATCAGCTCATCCAGTGTATTTAAAAAAATATATATATTAATTAAATATAAAACGTTCTATATTTTAAAAAGTATTTTTATTTTAAATTACTAAAAAAATAATTTTTAAAATTAAACATTTATTTAATGTTAAAATAAATTCAACGTTTATCAATTTGGAGCTCGAAAAAGGAACAAGGCTCCTGGTATTGATGACATACATTCAGAAATCCTAAAAAATGGAGGGGAAGATTTAAAAAGATATATATTCCAATTGGTGTGGGATGTTTGGTTTGAAGAGAGAATGCCTGAAGAGTGGAAAATGGCAGAGATATGTCCCATTCATAAAAAAGATGACAAACTATCTTGTGATAATTATCGAGGGATAGCACTACTGAATACAACCTACAAATTATTTTCTGTATTAGTGAACTGACGGCTGATAAAGTTTTCTGAACAGATAATGGGTGACTATCAGTGTGGTTTTAGGCCTGGATGATCAACCATCGATCAGATATTTTCATTAAGACAGGTTCTTGAAAGGGGATATGAAATTCACGTTGACCTCCATAATTTGTTTATCGATTTTAAGCAGGCATACGACAGTATTGTTAGAGAAGAATTACTAAAGATAATGCTCGAATTGGGAATTCCCAGGAAGCTCACTAGGCTAGCAAAAATTACAATGCACGATAGCAGAATGAAGATGAACATACAGGGAATGCTATCAGAAGATTTTGTAGTAAATAGTGGCCTGAGGCAGGGAGACCCACTATCACCTGTCTTTTTCAATTTAGCCTTGGAAAAAGCTATTAGGGCGATACGAACCAGGTAACAAGTACCTTTATGCCATACAAAGAACACTAAAGTTTAAAGCTCTTTCCGAAAAAGCAAAACTCATGATTTATAAAACCATACTGAGATCTATAGTTACATATGGCAGTGAATCATGGGTATTGACCAGTGAAAGTGAAAGGAAGCTCAATGTCTGAGAAAGAAAATTATTCCGGAGGATATATGGGCCAATAAGAGAAAGTGGCACGTGGCGTTTAAGAAACAATTACGAGCTCCATGCAATGTATGGCAAACCAGACCTGGTATCATTTGTGAAAAAAACCCACCTGAGGTGGCTCGGACATGAGGAAAGGATGCCAGAAAATAGAATTCCAAGACGCCTGCTATATGGAAAAATTGGAGGGAAGCGATACAGAGGAAGGCCAAGAATGCGATGGTCTAATAACGTTGAAGAGGACCTCAAGTTGTTCGGAGTAAGAAGATGGAGGATGCGAGCGAGAGACAGGAATGACTGGCTTGAAGTCCTTGAGGAGGGCCAGGTCCTTGTAGGACCGTAGCGCCCAGCAGTAAATAAGTATGGTAGGTTGTCTATTGCTGGGGCCTTTCGATAGCTATTTCTATATCCAGTATATCTGGTTTTTCAACCTCTTCTGGGTCAAGGTTCTCAGTGTATTCTATGTCTTAAGAACTACCACTATCTCTACTAAAACTGACTTCATTGTACAGTACTTGTAATTTTAAAAAATAAATCTCCAAACCACAATAAGAAACCTTGAAGGAAGTTAGTCGACTGTTCTACATATCACCCACAATAAGAAACCATAATTAATTTAATTTTAAGAAGTAAAAAAATAAATAAATCTTTTCAATAAAATCAAGGTAACATTTGAATTTATAATGTTCAAATTGATTTTTTCATTTTAAATATTGTGATCCAACCCTTGTTATATCTTTATTCTAAGTATTTATATAAGGAATGGGCAATTAATTATAAACATAATTTGATTGTATTTATTAAAATTCATTCTACACTTAATTTAAAATATAACAACTACATACATATATATCTCTATTTGTGATATATATATGTATAAACAAAAATAATTTAAAAATAGCTATGCCTATTATCACAAATTCTCAAAAAAGATATGTAAATGTATTACATACATAATAAAATTTAACATCCATTTATAAAAAATTAAAAAAATAAAATAAAAGTTATTTTCAAGGCAATGGATATTTACAAATTTACAATAGATTTTAATATGGCACAATTTTGATTCCAAAATATACAAAACTTTAGTTACTAAACTCTTCTGATGACTGTTCTTCCGGCAAAGAAGCTTGGGTATCCAGCTTCTGTATTTCTGCAATAAATAGAGAAACATATTAATGCTTTGATAAACTTTTTGAAAATTTTACTATGCAAAACATAAAAGTAAAATATTGGTGTATTTATACAGTAGTCCTGCTGATCTGGACATCCAGTTAATCTGTGAAGGCTTAAGGAAAAACTAATTTAAATTTAGTAAACAAATAATTTAATTTAGCAAACAGTATATAGGTGTAATACCATGTGTTATAACCCATACATAACATATTTAATTATATAAAGGTTAACAATTGTTACGGATTCTTATGAGTATTATTGTGTATTATGTATTATGCAAAATTAAAATTAATAAAGCATTGCATTAATTCTAAAGGTTTTTACTACAATAGAAAAATAACTTAAGAGAGGGTTTGACTTTAGCCAAGTTGACACAATGATATTATCAGGTCAAATGAAACAAGAAACTGTTTCATCTATTTTTAAAATACAATAATTATATGAAACAATAACGTTTGTCTGATTAAAACAAAAAAATTTATTTTTTGGAATACAGTTAAAAGAAAAACCCTTTGTATGACCCCATTAAAGGCTTGAGTAAACCTGAAGTTATTGAACTCAGAATCTTGAACTGAATCTATTTACCTTGTAAAGTAAGCTCTATTTTAATTTTTGAATTTGCACAAAACTAAGTTACTGAAAATTAACGTTAATTCTTTATGATTTAAATTATATAAATTTAAGCTTACGAAAGATTAATGAAACACTTAATTTCCAATAAAAGTCATTAAATAAATGTTATGGAAAGAGTTTAATTAAACCATTATAATTGGGGCTTTAAGGATTCACAATTTAAACCAGGGGTCTCCAAATTTTTTGGCCCACGCACCACATTGAGACCTCCACTCCAGTCTTGTGGACAGCGTTGAGACCTCTATCTAAGTCCCATGGGCCATGGCTTGAGATTATAAAAAAAAATCTTGTTCTATAAGTGACACTTCAGTTGTGAAATGAGCTATCAAACAGAAAAAAATCCATGCAATAAATGTTTAGTAAGCTTTAGTGCAAGTAATTTGCTAAATTTATATATATTTTTTTAATTTTACTATGCAATCAAAGAAAATTTTGTGGACTGGATTGGAAGTGCTTGCGGGCAGCCTGATCTGACCCACAGGTCACAATAATTTGGAGACTCTTGGCTTAAACTACAAATTTTTTATCAAAATGAATAGACTTTCAATTTCCTTATAAACCAAACTCTATTAAAGAGAAATTAAAAATTCACTTACTGTGCTGACATGACTTTCCTGACCATCCTTGATCACAAAGACATGTATTATTATAAAAACATACTCCATGTTTACAAGGCCTTGAGCAAGGGCTTTTAGCAGGAGATCTTCTACCTATTTCACAATGATCTCCTCTAAATCCATTAGGACAGCGGCATTTATTTATTCCTTTGCAGCGACCACCATTCAAACAAGGAATAATACACTTTGCTAGGAAAAAAAAAAAAAAAATATATATATACACACATATGCCAACTGAAAAAATGATAAGGTAGAAAATCTTTTTCAACTTTGTAAGCCAGAACAGATTATGTATATAGGTTAGAATAATCGCATAAATATTTAATGTTATGAAACCCAATTTTTACAGATTATCACGTTTAGTGAGTTTTCCATAAAATTTCTATATTAAATACTACAAAAAACGAGTGAATGCAGATAAATACAAAAATAACATTAATTTTGTAGAAGTGAGGCTCAGATTTATATGTAACAAAAAACATTGAAACATTCCTTATAATATGACTGAAAAATAAACTTAATAAAACTCAGGCCATTGTCTATCATTGGTTCCAAGTTCTTTCTTAGAACCCATACTTTCCCCAAATTTTCCATACTTTACTTAAATAACCATCCCATCACCTTCTAATCGTCTGTTTAAAATTTAGGCTTTTTCATATATCAAACTCTCTCCTGGAATCACCATATTTCTCACATCTCCCAACAGGCAATTTCTACTCTCAAACTATTCCATCGCTTCTGCCATCTCCTTCCCCAAAATACATGTAGACTCCTAGTTTCCTCTCTCATCTTCCTCCACTTTGAATACAGTTGTGTGGTGTACGATGGACTCTTGGTGGAGCTCTGTGATAGACTGAAAAGACTAATGAATAACTTCGTAAGATTTGTAATTGGGACACCGAGACGCTCCTGTGTCTTCCACCACTAAACTGAATTAGGAGTGGCTCTTTCCCTTCTTCAGAAGACAATTTTTTTCAAGGCACATTCCTTTATCAAATTATCAACATTCATCGTCCTTGTTATGCCTACAATCCCTTATTGCAAGATCTCCACCTTCTGACCTTTACATCCCTTCGGTCAGAACATTCCAAAACTCCTTTGTTGCTCGCTTCGCCAATTTCTGGAATTCCCTCCCTATCAAAATTTGTCATGTATCCACATTAAAAAACTATTCCGATTCCTGTATAGTCAGATATCTAATAACTATTGACATTATATATCTAATTCATGCCGTTTATCATCATAATATTACATGAATTGCCTACTCTCCATGCCAATCAATACATCTATTTTTTTTTTACTATTACTAATATTTTTTCTTATATATTAGATTCTTACATGTATTTACTGTAATAGATGATCATGCTCTTCTAATGATGTTTTACATATTATCCGGCATTTACATAATTAGGTATTTTATATCAACAGGTGGAGCTTGCTTTTTACTTAGCAGAAACTTCGAGCTTAGTTGTGAGAAGAATTTAATTTATTTTATTATTTTTTCTTTCTTGCATAGTTTTGAGTGTTATTTCATAGTTTAAGTGTCTTGTACAGTTTTACTGTTTTGTATGTAGCTTCTCACTTATGTTTTCTTTACTTTTTAAAATTTTATTTATTGTTTCAAAGCTTTAGGCCAGAAGCAGTCTTTTCATTGTGTAAAATTTTGTTATTCTCAAGGGACTTTTTCCCAGAGCAAAGTTGTTTTTTATTATCTAAGTTTACATATTTTCACAACGCAATATACACAATATAGTTTACTCCTCATAGTAGAAACGTTCTATCACCTGTGGTGTTGAGCAACATGGACCAATCCTTTAGTTTTAAAGAAAAATAACACTGGTTTTAACAGAGCAGGACTCTAATTGTATCTCAAGAAAAGGTTTCCTTCCAGTTGTGTTCCACACTCTTAGGCATTTTCCTTGAGATATTTTTGCAATGAGTTTCCGTTAAAAAAACAAAATGGTTCTCAGATATTTGAAGCTTACATTCATTATTGGACAGTTTATAACTGACTACTTATACTTTATTTATGAACCAAATTTTAATATTTATGTTATGTTATGAATAGCTTTGTATGATTTGTAATTAGGATCCCGAGACACTCCCGTGTCTCCCACCACTACACTGAGTTAGGGTGACACATCCCCTCCTTAAGAAGACAATATTTCCTAGGCACATTCCTTTAATCAATCATTAACGATCATCGTCCTTCTTATGCCTACAACCTTCTCCAATTTAAGTCCTCAATCCATTCCTTCAGCACAAGATCTCGACCTTCTGACCTATATATCCCTTCTCATAGATCTGCCTCATTCCAAAACTTCTTTATAGCCCGCTCTGTCAACTTTTGGAATTTCCTCCCGATCAAAATTCGGCATGCCCCCTCCGTATCCACATTAAAAAACCTCCTATTCCAATTCCTGTTCCAAAAACAGTTAGATACCAGCTAACTATTAACACTATATATATATGTATTGCGTAGCAATCATATACAATAATACTTTGTAAGAGATATTACATGAATTTCCTACTTTTGACGTAGGAATTTCAATACCGTTTTTTATTTTTTAATATATTTTTTTTTATTCAATTATAACTAACTTTATATATATATATATATATATATATATATATATATATATATATATATATACACAAGTAAAGTTTTTTTTATGAAATGAACTTATTCTATCTCTTTTTCATTCTTCATTTCTCAAAGTGTATGTTTATGTTGCTCAACCATTATATATAGTTCTGTTCATAGTTTTAAGTGATTTGTTCATAGTTTTAAGTGTTTTCTTCATAGTTTTAAATGTATTGTACACGGTTTTATCCATATTGTAAATAGCTTGTTCACCTAAGGTTTTCTTTACTTTTAAGTTTATTTTATCAATTTTATTTACTGTCACAAACTTTTAGGCCAGTAGTATTCTATTATTTTTGTACAATTTTGTTATTCTAAAGGGACTTAGTTCCAGAATAAAGTTTCTTTTCTATCTATCTATCTAATATTTGAAGTATTGCAGATAAAAGCTAAAAACATGATTAAAATCAAGTCAAATTCAAATGTTGATTGACATAAAATTTAATTAAAAAATAAACTCAATTATTTGAAACATGCATAATATATACTTTTCAAACCAAAATATGCATGATAATCAAATTTTGGTAAAATATGTAAAACCAAAAGATTTAGAACATCTTATTCCATAAAGTGATTGACTCATATTTTTGAAAATAATAAGAAAAAAAGTGCATACGCATACAAATCTTGGTTTTAAATTTTTTAATTATGCTGTTTAATTAATAGTAGGATGAATTACCCACCCTTTTAAGCAAAATATATGTCTATAAACGTCTTTAAATGAGATTTATGAAATTATTCTGATATCCAGTAGAGCAGGTAACTGTAACAGGAAAAATAACAATCACAAAAACAGAAATAATAACTAAGTGCCTAAACAAGGAATAGGCAAACTGGTTGGCTAGTAGATGTGGCAATGCCAGTCTCTCAGTTACCTTGAACCAGATGCCTTCCCTAATCTCAGTGATTATAATAATTAATGCAACTAGTGGGAAAACATACAAATCTTTAAAAAAAGATTTCCTGTTATAAATAAAACGTGAAAAATTCTCATTCAGATGATTTAAAACTAAAAACTATAACGGTAAAATTTATGCTTTAAAAATAACAAAAATAAAAGTAAAAAAAACAAAAAAAAAAAAAACACTACTTACAAAATTCACATCTTAATCCATAATAGCCTTTCGAACATTCACATGTATCTTTTTGAATACATTTCCCACCATTTTCGCACTTCTCAGAACAAATGCCTAGTAACAAAGAAGCAAAATATAAATTGTAAAACAATTATATGTAGGAATTGTATAACAACACAATCTCATTAATGTAATGGATATTTCTTGATAGTATACCTCCTTCACAATGGCGCCCTTGAAATCCTGGAGGGCATGTACAGGTCCCTGGAGCAGTACAAGTGCCATTATTAACACACTGGGGATAACATAGTGCTGTTTTACAATACTGTCCCATATAGCCTTCCTGGCACTGACACATTTTATCACGATTGCACCACCCACCATTAGCACATTTTTTGTCACACTCTGGATCAGGACCTGCTGTAAGAAGAATAAAAATTATACTAATAAAATATAATCAAATAAATAAGATGAAAATACAACTTATTTATTGTGTACGGGGTAGTATAACAGAAGAAAAATAAAACTGGTTTTATCAGAGCAGGATTCTATTGGGTTGTCCGGAAAATAATGTAGGATTTTACGTTTTCTTTAAAATAACCCTCTATATAACAAACTGTTTAGGTTTACTAGATAATTCATTTGTATTAATGTCAACACTTACCAATTCTCTTCCAAACGATAATGTTTGTTTACCTCTGTAGCATTTAGCTGCTTAGAAATAATTCAGTCTTTACTAAGATGTCAACGCATAATTTTCATAAAATTTTGTTTTACAAGTTTAAACTCGGCCAGAAAGGGGTCCAGACGGCCAGAAACATCAATTAAGTCTGGGATGAGAGCAGTAATAATGAATGCACTGTTCAAGGGCGGTTAAAAAAATTTTGGGAGTGAGACTTCAGCCTTAAAGACAAAGAAGTTCATGGAAGGACTTCCTCTATTGATGACGATGTTCTGCAGGTTTTGGTGGAGGAAAACCCCAGAACAACTGTTCAAGAACTTGCAGAGAAACTTAACCTTAGCAAATCGACTGTTGATGACCACATCAAGAAGATTGGAAAGGTTTTTTTGACCGCAAAAAAAATCAGCATTATGAAGTTTGTACTACACTTCTTTGCTGAAACAAAAATGAACCATTTCTGTCCAGAATTGTAACTTGTGATGGAAAGAGAATACTTTACGATAACAGTAGACGTTTTGGACAGTGGCTCAACAAAGGAGAAGCAGCAGAACATTTTCCAAAGCCCCCAACTTATCAAAAAAAGATGATGGTTATTGTTTGGTGGGATTCATATGGTTTGATACACTACAGCTTCTTAAATCCTGAAGAAACCATCAATGCCGAATCGTATTGTAACCAAATTAATGCAATCCATTGGAAATTGGCAATAATGAAGTCATCTTTGGTCAATCGGAAGGGGCCCATTTCGTTGCATGACAACGCCCGGCAATATGTCTCACATGTGACGTCCAAGAACTGTTGGAGCTTGGATATGAAACTGCCATATCTGCCTGCCCTACTTTCCAGACCTCTCGCCTACGGATTATTATTTTCTTAGACACCTGGACCATTACTTATGTGACGAAAAATTTAACGGACACAGGAAATTAGAAAATGTGTCTTTATCAATTCTAAAGATGGGAAATTCTATTCTGAGAGAATGGAAAAGTTGCCGACACGTTGGCAGAAATGTATTGATAGTAGTGAAGACTATTTTGATTAAATAAAACAGTTGTAAATCTTTCTTTTTGAAACAAAATTCTGTATTCTTTTTCGGACAACCCAATAATTATATATCCATAAGAGTCCAACTACAGAAAATATTTTAAAATCTTACTTTTAAATTTTTATTTAGTCATGTAAATTACTGATTTTCATTACAATGAATAAAACTTGAAGCCACTTCAATTGATACAGACTTTTTGAACCTTTTTATAAAATTAAATTTTTTTATTTATATGATATTTACAACTGTATAAAAAAAATACATCTAGTAAATTCACACAATGGCAATTCAAACAAATTTGGATATAATGACATGAAACACATGTTGAGGAACTACTCATTGGTAGCACTCTAATAATATGTCTATATTAGGAGATCACGTGGCCATCTTCTTTTCAGAAGTCTCGGAGGGTTATCAGGAATTGAATAGGAAGCAAGGTTAGAAACAAGAGGGTTGGGATGGTTATGAAGTTTATTATGGAAGGATAGATATCAGGATTGGGCCAAATCCTGATACATAAGGAACATTAAGGTCATTGTGGATGATTGCATTTGTAAAAAGTAAGAAGCATTGAGGATTTTACGAAGGATTTTGGATTGTAGGGATTGGATACGAGAGGAATTTGATGGCTTAGTAGAGCCCCAAAGCTCGATCCCGTAAGTCGAAATAGGCCTTATTATAGTAATATATATGAGTCTTTTGTAAATAGTTGGCAGTTTAGAGCGTTTGTCTAGTAAGTTTTGAAGTAGTTGGAAACGTCGAGTTGTTTCTTGTCGTTTCAGTCTGGTATGAGGACTCCAAGTTAAAATTTAAAAATTAAAATTTAGATGAAGAGAAGAATAGTTGGGGTGGTCAGTCAAAAAGGAAGGCAAAAATAAATGATAATATTTATTTTTTACATATGCCGACGTTTCGACCTGAAGTTCAGGCCTTCATCAGGGCTAAGAAGATAACCAGATAACAAGGTCTGAGAAACATAAGTAGTGATGGTAAAAAAAAATAATAATAATAATAAAAAAAAAATTAGAAAAATAAAATAAATAAATATAAAGTAAAATGAAATTGTTAGAATAATGACTAAGAACTAAGAGATAAATAATAATAACCGTTACAAAGTGTGGAATGATGAAGTAGGCATAATCAAAAAGGGTGAAATAAGTGTTACAATGGGAATCTTAGAATAAAATGTAAAACATAAAAAAGAAATATGAAGTTATATAAGAAATGAAAATAAATAGTAAAATTAAAACATTGAGAATGGAGTAGTTAAATAGAAAATTGAGATATTGTAAAGTCTATCAAGATGTACATACAATGTATAATATAATAAAGAGTTAAAAGCAGAGAAAAGGAAATTTTATAATTATTAATAATTAATAATAAATTTTATTATTATTATTTTTTTTACCATCATTACTTATGTTTCTCATACCTTGTTATCTGGTTATTTTCTTAGCCCTGATGAAGGCCTGAACTTCAGGTCGAAACGTCGGCATATGTAAAAAATAAATATTATCATTTATTTTTGCCTTCCTTTTTGACTGACCACCCCAACTATTCTTCTCTTCATTATCCACGATAGTCAACCAATTACCAATTATAAAATTTAGATGAGTTGTTTACTGGTACATAGTTAGGAAGTTTTACCAAAGCACTATTATTTTGTTAAATTACATAACAGGTATTAGATTAATTCCATGTTTGGAAACAATTATACATAATTAGATATTTTGCAAAATTATTGTTATTCTATATTTTAAGTGCTTGAATTTTATATATTAGAACAAAAATATTACTCTCATATAACTTTCGGAACTCTATTTAATCACTCTTGCTAATATTTTACATATTATATTAAATAAAACAGGTCACTGTAATAATTGCTGTAAGAATTCTGTACTAAATAAATTACTAATGAAATAAAACAAAATATACAACATTAAATGAATTCATATAAAAGTTTACTCATTTGTTCACAATTTGGCACTCTACTTTTCCAAATTCAGAACAATGACCACTACTGATTAACCTTTATATTATTTCTATATTTACTTTGTTATTAAATAGAGAAGGTGCTATAAGGAAAAAACGCTAGGGCAACATGATTTAATTTAAAAAAAATTAAAGTCATTTAATTAAAATATAAAAAAAAAGGAAATGAAAAAAATACCTTGTCATTGAGTAGAACTGAATAAGCATGTTTTCATGTTGAAATTCTGTGATTAGATAATAGATATTTTAGTGCATTATATTTTTGCATTCAAAACAACTAATTTTATCGTTTACATCACAATGTAAACCTGTAAGTAAACCTTTGAAATGAACTGAAGAAAACATAGTCATCAGTCTTCCTGCAGCTTAGGGATAGAAGTGGAGGGGTGTAAAAGAGATATAAAAGTGCTCAAACCAGCCACTAAGATGCTATAATGTCAAATCCACCCATTCCACGATCACATTCATGAATCAGAAAAGACTGAATAATATCCAGTGGTTTGTTTTTGTTTTAATAATATATTTTTTGCAGCCTGAATCAGTTTGTAAGTTGCTAGAAGTAACTGTGGACAAGGACATTCTTGTTTAATAGACACTATGAACACTACTGAATCACCTTAAATGGCTCCCTTGGCACTCTTTATTCCTTCTAGGGCCATCATAAGACATTTTTTTGGTACTATTATGAAGAATAGCACCTGTTGCCTTTAATTGAATTATGCAAATCATCCATATTTTGAATCTGAACTTAATCAGTTTCCCATAAACAAACATTTTTAAAGAATGATCTCCATATGTGTCATAACTATTGCCAGCCAAGATAAAACAGAACCACACATTCATCAATAATCCCCACTTTAAAAGCAATTAAAATCATAAAGTAGGTTTACAGTAAGGGGCAAGAGGAACAAGTCAAAACTTGCATATCTAGCCACAGTCTAGTCATACCAGGCCATTGCTCCCAATTGGAAATTGTTGTATCTCTTAGCCGTTGTACACAGTATTTATACCAACTAATTGTTTTAATTTATTTTTAACATTTATTATACAAGAAACAAAATTACTGAAGTGATCAAATAGAAACAAAAATTTATTTGGTTATAAAATAAATAAAAATAAAAAAGTAAAAAGGCATTTTTCACTTATTTCTAACAATCATAAGTAATGAAATTTGAAAAGAAAAATGATCAGTTTTTGCATTCTTCAAAAGTTCTGACTATTAAATCCTGTAAAAATATTAAACAAGTGTGTAAGATAAATGTTTATAAAAAAATTTCCAAACATCTGTTCCCATTTGGAAACAATGGTCTGTAAATGGTTAAAACAGGTTTTTGGTTCAATATATATATATATCAAATGCTGTAAAAAAAAAGTACCTCTTTGAGCACATTCTTTCCGAAGACTAAGCCTGAGTGGAGTACCTGGAAGAGGTTTTCCTTTCCTGCTTTCAATTACTAGCCCCAAATCAAAGGAAGCAACACCAGAACTGTTCCCAGAACAAGGCAATAGCAAACTAAACACTAAAAAAGAAAAAATATAGCTCAATAATTTATAAATCAATAGAATATATTTTAAAAAAAACAAAAAATATATATACAGTTGTGGTCATAGAAATCACATCACCCAGTAATAATTTTATTTTATTCACCAAATTGCTATCTACAAGATATCTGGATATTTCTTTGCTAGTTTTGGAGCGATAAAACCAATCTCATCATTAAGCGGTCAAATTTTTTATTTGTTTTGTTTTTACCTACCAGTTCCTTTCTTTTGCTCCATAGTGCTCTTCTTTTTTTTCATAACTATGACTCATATTGATTGACGGTACCCTACCCTCATTGCTATGAAAATGAATCGTGGGAAAATACTTTCATTTCGAAATTTCTTGACCAGGTTAGTTTTTTGAAACTGGACATAATTACAGATTTTATCCTGGCATTAGTTAAAACTGAACTGAGAAATGAAGAAAAACACAAGTTTTCTTGTAACCTAATTATGTAAAGAAAAACAAAAACATCCAATGGAATCAACGTTATCAACATAAGAATAAAAAGAAATAGCTGATGTAATTTCTATGACTGTGACTGTATATATTTTAAACAAAGTAAAGTGAAGGTTCATTCGATAACAGGTTCATACCTTGATTAATTACTTCAACTGTATAATAAATTATAAAGATTTTTCTTATGACCAATAATAAGTTACCACCAAATATATTAGCAGTTGATCAATCAACTGTCATCACAAAAACTAATCATCAACTCCATACTAAGAGAAAACATGCCAACTTAAATGAATGTGAAGTTCTTAAAGGAATAAAAATGATTTTGATCCAGTTCATTATAAGAAAATATGTGTTCTTGGCAGTGAAAAATAGACAGTAACTTCAACTATCAGTGAACTTTTGAGGTCTTCTTCCGTAAGGTAGAATTTCTTAATGCACCCCACATTTACTTTTTTTTAATTATTCAAAACTTATAAATTTACAGAGTATGAATAGAAACTTAGAATCTTTGATTGTGCATAACTACAGCAAAATTCTAATTAATATGGTTAATATTAAATCAAAATGAAAGAGGAAAGAGGGACACATCTATTGAATCTTCCCCAATTTTTTAACAAAAAAAGACTGATTAAAAGTAAAAATAAAACAGTAAAAGTTGGAGGAAAAAATAAAAAAATTAATAATTAATGGGGAAAGCCTTGCTTAAATGACTAAAATAACTATGTTAATTCTAATATCTTAAATTTTCAAAAGCCAAATATCATCATCTAGGTATATGAATAATTTTGCATTGCCAGAAAGAACGTTCTAATTCTTATGATGTATAAGAAACATAATTTAAAGATGTCTACTGGAGTCAAATCTTCATAAATAGTAAGTTTACCTCAACTTCAAAATTGATGCTAAACGATATTCACATTCTTCCACTCAGAGCTTTTCTATAGTTATTCATTCATTTTGTCCTTATATTTTAGTTTTGTCTTACTTTTTAAATACATATTTAAAAATTAAATGTTGTGTCAACAAATGATAAGTCCTGAACCTTGTTTTGTAATTGTAACTCCTAAAAATGTGGTGCGCACAACACACAATTTTCACTTACCACTCAACTTTGAATAGAAATTATTTTCTGGCCATGTTGGGCTATTAAAAAAATTTTGAAGCTAAAATCATACAGTTAACAAATCATAAATACCATCAAAATAACAAAAGTTCTATTTATTATATTACCGGTTGATTATGGGTTGTAAGACTATTAGTTAATAAACTGTTATTTTCCATTTCAAAGTTGGAATTAAGAGATTTTCATTGCCTGTCATAGTCAGGTCACAAGTTGTCACACTAATTGGAAGTGGATACTGTTGGAATATTCAAAGGGAAAATTCATCAAATTATTCACTAATTTAATTTTCTTAAAGGTTACATGATGATTTTTTGGAATAAACAGACGATAGATAAGTAATTATTTAAATATAATATCAGATCTAGAGTTATTCGAGAACCCTAACAAAATACAGTAAATATATTTAAGTTTATAAACATATCCATGAAGTATTTTTATATTTCACTTCTTCTTTCACGTAAGTACAATGAAATAGTGTCTTTAACAGTGTCATTGCCTCCTTAAATCCATGGATTTTAAATACTTTTTCAAACTAAAAAAAAAAATGTTAAAAGTTTACATTTAGTAAGAAAATTTGATTTAATTTCCTTGAAAACACGTGATTTACGTTAAATAATGTTAATTTTTAGAAATTATTATTTATATTTTTTTCGCCACTCTCTGTTACCTTCTGCAATTTTCTATTTTAGATATTTTTTTTCTTTTCAATTCTCCGCTTTCCAACGATGTATTATACGTATACCTCCTGACTATTATTTCCGGCCTAGATATGTATTTTTCTTTTTTCTCCTCTATTCAATTATCAAATTCTTTCAAAAGTTATATATAACATTTTTTCATAACTCCTAACAATAAGGAATAGTTATTATTTATAATAAATCAAATTAATGGTACTTTATAGGAAGACACGATAATTTTGGAATTTCACAAAGGGAAAGTTCATCAAATTATTGACTAATTTAATTTTTTTAAAAGTTATATGATGATTTTTCGGAATAAACGGACGTTGATACCTAATTATTTAAATATAATATCAGATCTAGAATTATTAAACTAAAGTGAATGTATTTAAGGTTCTAAACATATGCTCTATACATCCACGAAATGATTTGATATTTCACTTCTTCTTTCACACAAATACAATGAAATAGTTTTTTAAACAATGGTATTGCCTTGATTAGGTGAATTTTAAATAATTTTTTTAACTTACAAACATTTTAAAAGTTTAAATTTAGTTAGTAAATTTCATTTAATTTCCTTGAAAACATGTGATTAACATTAAATAATATTAGTTTTAAAACATTATTATTTTTAATTTTTTTGCCACTCTCCGTTACCTTCTACAACTTTCTATATTAGATATTGTTTTTCCTCAAATCCTCTGCTTTCCAATCATATATTATATTTATACCTTCTAACTAGTATTTCCGGAGATTCATTTTCGACCTGGATAAGGATTTTTATTTTTTTCTCCTTTATTCAATAATGAAATTCTTTCAAAAGTTATATTTAGTATTGTTTCGTCAATCTATATAATGTGAGATAATTAATTATATAAAATAAACCATATTAAAGGTACTTTAGAGGAAGACGTAAATGAACATTGGGCATTTAAGCCCTTTAAAGTGATATCAATGGGGATAAGACTTGGTTGATATTAAAGACCACTTCATTATACAATGATACACCGAGTTTAATCAAAATCGTTAGAGCCGTTTTTTAAAAAATTGTAAAAATTTGTTTCAGCGTTAATATAAAGTGGTACTTCTAGTTAGCCGATTTTAAGAAAAAAGTTGCTGTCACATCTAAAGCATATACCTAACTTAAATATGTAATATCAGTTTGGTACGACTTTTCATTTTTGAGCTCGACTGCTAACATACATACACACATACATACAGACCATTTTGCGGGACTTGGTTATTTGGACTCGGGGTACCTCAAAATATGTATTTTTGTTGAAAACTCAGATTTGGAAATTTTCACGATCACAATACTTTCCCTTACTATATATTACATATATAGGTAAGTGAAAGTAAAAATACAATGTATGAAGAAATATAGGTTGTCGTTCTCCAAGAGACTGAAGATATTGTTTTTGTATTATTTTAGGTGATTCTGGGCTAAGTTAAGAGAAACATCCATTACTTTACTAAAATTCCTACAGTAATACTGGGCTATTCTTAACTATGTACACATCCAATCACAACTCAATAAAGCGTGTACCCTTAAATAAGTCATGGATAATTTTGTTTTTAAATTTCTAGTCAAATAATAGTTCTAAAAAATATTTTATAGCCGTTTATATTAATGATTAACCATCAGAATACATCTCTCATATTTTCCGAAATTATATGCAATGCATAGAGGAAGCAAGTTTCACATATCATTTTGTTGTAAGGTACCCTTTATGCATTATATTGTTTCATCAAGAAATGTACCACAACTTGGGGTTACTTTGACCAAGTAAGTAGTAGGTATTCATTGGTTTGATTTTGATTGTATATATTATATAAATTATTTTTGTGATAATAAATACAAAATATACACACAGAGCATGAGAACTAATATAACTTCAAACTTATACTCATTGCAAGTAAGTAAGGAGTTTTAAGTGATAACTATTGTTATCAATATTAATATAATCACCAGTCCAGAATATATAAATATTACTTTGAAATATTTTTTTTTTAACCACAGAATTAGCAGTGAACATTATTTTCAAGTGATAAAAAAAAAATGCATTATTTCTTTTACTATTGTGGTATGTTATTGCTTGTACTATTGTTATTTGATAATGATTTGAACATGCTTCTAAAATGATCAATAATTTAAAAAATGAAATGACAACCTTTAACTCAAAATGTAGCATATAAATAAATGAACATTAACAATTTCACGTCTATGTGAATAGATGTGTTTTTGTATTCATTTCTCTACAGTCGAATAATGAGGGAAGGTATACATCTATGTTGAACATGAAGGTTCCTTAAAAAAGATTTTATGACAGACATTTTTAAATATATAAAGATTTGCAATTTTTCATCCTCATAATACTTAAAACAACAATTATTTTATTATGGTTAAAAAATTATCAACAACAATTTTTTAAGGTATGAAATTTACTATATTTCAAAACTATTTCATTGATTTTTCAAACTTTAAGTATTTAACACTTTTCTGATCTTATCAAAAACTTTGAAATGTTTCACTTCACTAAATTTACATTACTATGTGAAATATGTTTTTTTTCTTCTTATTTATTATCCATTCTTGTGAATGTAAACTAAGGGCCCTTTTTGATGACTTATATTTTATAACTGTGACTTTTCGTTCAACATATAGAGATTTTCAATACATATTGGTTCCCCTGTATTATATTCTTATAAAGTAATATGGTACTTATATAATATCCCACGTACTATTTTCGACACAATACATGAGCAAAAATAAAAAAAATCTATGATTGAACACAATACTCTTTTCAACAGGTTCTCTTATTTTTCTCTTATTGGGGAGGGAGAGGGGAACCTAAAACCCTTAAAGATAATCAAAGTAGAGTACCGTTGAGCGTGGTAAATACTTGGATGGGCCGTTCACCAGGGAAAGCAATTTTGCCCAAAAATCCATCTCCTTTCTACAGGCCTATTAGACTACAGGAGGAAACTCACACCAACATAGGGGTAGTGATGACCCTAACCAGTGTACTTTAATCGAGAATCGTGAGGTGATTTTCTAGGATGTTAGTAGCCTCTCAGAGCTTTGGTCCATGGACGGTCTATTTCAGGAAAATAAATGTAATTCCTTGTATGCTTGCTGACACTGAGCAGCCATAATCCATGGATCTAGACCGATTTATTACTGTAATTGAACCCAAGTGAGTCTGTGGGAAGGACACTGCCAGACTAGCCCCAAAGGGATCGGCTATAGCTATCAGTGGCCTTGCTGTAGCACCATGCAAAAAAATATTGTGAAACATTATCAAAATGTAGAATCAACTTTCTACTGAAGAAAATGTAGTGATGTTTTTTCCAAGTTTTGCCTGAGCATTCCATTAAAGTGTATCCTAATAGGCATCATATGTCTAGGGTAGACCTGGCCAATTCAAGGTCCATCAGTTAGGGAATCATATCTTACAACATAAATTCACTGCTCATTTTGTTTCAAGAATCTCATATGAATTTAATTAGCATTTGTGGAATCTTCTTCAAATACAAGTTCAATCTATATAAAGAAGAGTGATCAAATTCATAATCAGCTTAAAGATAAAAGAATTTTGAAAAATTAACCTCTCATATAGCAATCGATATACTCAGATTGGTTCTGTACAACATTAAGAGAATTATATTTAAGAAAACATAAAAAAATTAACCAATAAACATAGTATTTTTTTAAACTAAATAAATTAGAAGACACACTATTTATCACATCAAAATGAAGTACTTCATAAAATAGAACCAAATTGTGTAATAATGATATACTAGTGATGACACTAAAATATATATGAGTATTATTATAAATGATAATAAGCCTTTCCTATAATGGTATATTTCTATAGTCGTATATTATTGCAATATGATGGCAGTTCATTATTATTATAAACTTAAAAGAAAAAATTCATAATTGCATTGAAACTACTGATTATAAGTAAAATCCTATTCAACTGGTAAGACATAATAGCTTAAACATAACTGATACCAGTAAATTTTTATTATATAAAAACTGTTAATAAACTGAAATTAAGTTCATAATATTTTGACAATGTAAGTAAAATCAGTAATAAATCTACTAGCCACTGCAATTGTACCTTCTATTAAATACTTTATTATTTCTTCTTAGGAATGATAGACATGATAATTTCCTTTAGTTCTTCCTTTCTATCATACAACTTAAGTTAAATTTTACACCAGCATCTAGCGGTATATAATAGATGTTTTAAGGAAAGTTGCCAGGTTTTCGATAGCATCATTTAGTGTTATTATACTACCCTTCTGGACTTCATTCTGAGTAACATGCGATAAAGATGAAATGAAACTTTGAATATTTGATCAAAGGAAAAATTAAGATTCATTTGATTTCAACCCATTTCAGATCAGTTTTGTGTTTATGTCTAGAAGCAAATTGTGACAGCACAAATATAAAATTTGGTTTTTAGACCACTGCACAACCTTTACTAAAATAACCCCAGAAAAATATATAATTACTTTTAACAGCTGAAGTGTTTTTTTTTCATAAAGTAAAGCTTAATTGGTAAATAAGAAACTTTCTATACCAATAAAAGTATATTTCAAAACAGAAAGTGTTTCTTAATCATCTAGTGTCTAAAGATGAAATTAACATTATTTAGTTGCAATTGGTTGAATTTAGTTGAAATAAACTGAGCCTAATTTTATTATTCATAAGCCTTTATACAAACATTTTAATGGAAATCTTTTATTTCAAATTTATAGTTTAATTGACCATTTAAGTCTTTGCCACTTACCAAATCATAAGTAATCTTCAATTTCTGAGAGTAAAGTAAGAATTTTTGATTTGATGAAAGCAAATGTCCAACAATTTAGTTGTATTCTCAAATTAATCCTTTTATTGATAGCATTTCATATGTTTTTTCAGTTGTGCCTTGTTGCAATATCTCTTTTTCATAAATTTATCCATCGTCACCAATAGTTAAGTCTATTTATAACAAATGTAAAAGTAGAATATTACAATAATTAATTCTAACTCACAAGCCATCATAAATGTTTTTTTTTAAAGCCAATAGTTTAGAAAAAAGAAATGTCATTTACGCATCAAAACACAGTATCAGCTAATTTTAGGCATTGATAGAATAATTTATATTAGATGATTTTTGTAACAGCAATCACTCACAACAAAACTTTAATTACCAACATAAACAAGATTTTTGAACTAAACAATTAGATTAATTCATAGATAGTGTAATCAGTTCTTTAGAACAATATAATGATTTATTTATTCATAATCTTTTCTCAACAAATTAATAAGACCAGGATTTTTTTAAAGTATGATATATACCATTATAGAGAAGGTTATCAAGAAAATAAAATTAATAATATAAATATTTCCCAATAATATAAAGCTAAACATATAATAATGATAAATTTTAAACATTTTTATGGAAACCAATCATAAATTTAAATATATCTACAGTAAATCCTAAAAGCTAAAACCAGTCATGTCATGTATGACTGGTTTTAGCTTTTTGATGGTCCCATTCTATAGTAATTAGTTTGGAACTACCTATGTGAGTTTAATATTTAATAAAACATAGCATTCTCACTTCTGCTTAATGATTTCTAGTAGCTATGATAATTGAACAAAAAGCCAATAAAAGTTTCAGTGCCAAGCAGTGTGAAGATGTGATGGCGGTGTGTTGCAACGTAGAACATTGTGGGCTCACTTCCTACCAGAATTGGTAAATATTTATTTCTCGGTAATCCTCAGATCAACCTCAAGGTTGCCGTCAGGAGTTGGCAAAATAGACCAAAAGGCCTGCTTGTTATACTAGTTTCCCCACTAGTACCAGTATCAGTCAGGCAGTGTAGTGTTAGACTACTAAATAGATGTGTTTCCAATCATAAATAAAAAAGAAAATATATATATATATATACACACACATATATATTTCCATTATTCACTATATGATAATTTTTTATTCTCTATTTTAAGCTCTGCAATAATTTAGGGCCCATTTTAAATTGTGGCTATCCATTTGGTGAATAATTGTCTGGATATAGTTGTGCTGTCACAACCTTCAAAAAAACGTGATGCTATTTTGGTTCTTTGTAATAAATTTTAACCTGAACTGAGTACATAGAAGATTAACTTTATATTTATATAAAAGTATGATTTAGTCTAGAGAACATTTATTCAGCAGATTCCTAAAGCTGACTGAACTTTGTCCAACCACTTAAGTCTAAATTTCACTTTTGTAAGGGACAGTCTTAGCTCAATATAAAAAATAAATTCACCTGAAGATGGCTTATATGCCAAAACATTGCAAATAAATGGATTTTTAGTAGTGAAGTTCAGCCTAAAGATTTTAATTAAAAAAAAAAAAATAAAAAAAATAATGGAAATACTAAAATACCTGTATCTCAAACAATATAAATTAAGTTATTCTACTACAAGTAATATGCAGTGAATAAAAAAATGACAGAAAACAAACAAGTTGATACAACATTAGTCAAAGGGTGCCACCATTACAATTTATGCTGTTCAGTTTTATGGGCAAGGAATAATTTTAATTTTAATGTCCATAAACAAGAGTTTATATTTCCTCTACTTAGTTTGAATAAAATCAAATAACAAATCTGAACTAGAAGAGACTGAACCCCCTCCAGAACACTGGAAGTCTGGATTAAACGGATTCTGTAAAAAGCAAATGATTAAATATTTTGGATTTTTCCCCCATAATAAACTTAGTTTTCTCCTTTAGCTAATTTTATTTTCAATACTACATAATGTATATGTAGATCTAAGTTTTTGCCCTATGAAATGAGTTTGGGTTAACAAAAAAAGAGTATCATTCTGATTAAAATTTGGAGGCCATGACTCACTAGTGGGTTATATAGCTATAAGAAGTAAATGAAGTGATTAAAATTTAAGATTTATCTATTGTACAGTAACTTAAAACAAAATGTAGTAAATTAATAAGGTAATATAAAAATTAAGAATTTTAAAACAAAATAAATGTTTCCGTGAACACGTCTAACTTAGTCACAAGTTAAAGAATATGAACGGTGGATAAATAGTTGACTGTAGATAATATGGTTGGGAAGTTAGTTGGGGGTAGCAGATACTGCGATTAAACATTTAAAAATATTATATTATTTTGTGTCAATGTTACGCTCTAAGTTTCAGGCCTTCATCAGGGCTGAGAAAACACAAGATAAGAACCAAACATAAAATTTTATAATAGATTTGTATTAATTTATGTTTGGTTGTTATCTTGTCTTTCCTCAGCCCTGATGAAGGCCTGAAACATGGGCACAAAATAAAATAAACTTTTATCAGATTTGTATTGGTGTTTTTTCAATCTACTGCAACCCCAACGAACTTCCTAACCATAAAGAACATTAATTTATATATTCAAAAATGTATTAAAAAAGTTTAATGACTCTAAATATACTTACATATAACAGTAGAAAAGTTAACCAAAATACATCAATAAAGAATGCCACAGAAATAAAAAACACATTAAAATAAAACAAATCTTACCTTTTGGCCTTCTTGGTACACGTCCTTTTGTTTTAATAGTTATCACAGGCGGATCTAAAATTGCCTTATCAAGTGACTGAAGCCTGTCAAAATTATAATTATATTTTTTCATTCCACTTTTCCAAGTAAAATTTACATATCCAACCTAAATAATTAAATTAAAAATAGGATTAATACAGTCATCTATAAACAAATGAACAGTTAATATAAGTGCAAACCAATGTTAACATAGCAATTAATTTGTCAGGTAACACCATCTAATATGTGAAAGAAGTGCCCTACCACCTCCCCTCTGAAAGGAAAAGTACCATTTTTTTTTTTTCATGGTTCCAAGGACAGTGCACTGACTAGAACCCTATGACACTTGTCTAATATTTTTGACCTAGGACTACAAAAAAAAGCTTCGTTGAAATCGGTGATCCCACATCCGTAACCCTCCCCTTGCCTTTTAAGTTGAAAAAAAAAATTAACATCCTGGAATCATCAAGATTAAACCTTCCATTGACATTTCATAAATTAACTATAACGAGGGAATCTAACAACAGCAAAGAAGTGTTTTTCAAGTGAAATTATATAAAATTGAGGTTTCTAAAGTTAATATTAAACAGACATTATCTTGATTTAATTAGATTTCACCAACCCCATCCTATTGAAAATTATGATCTGTAAATAAATTATATCTCTTGTAAAAAAATCCAAAGATTATCTAGTCTGAAATATAAAAACTGAGCTAGAAATTGAGTTCTAGGTTTATTGAATAATTGAAAACATCATTATACTCCACCTAAACATCAAGAGTCGGCGGGGGAGGGAGGAAAGGGTATCTGAAAACTTACTGTAGCCCTCTATTTATTATTATTAATTTTTTATTTATTATAGATTGCATTGTTTCAATTGGTTGAAAAGTGCATAATTTACAGAAAATATGACAAAACAATAACTTTCTTTAGAACTACCTATGTAATGGTATATTAGGAAATTTGACAGTGAAAATTTCTAAAATTTTAACAGAAAATTAAAGATAATGCTTACTAAAAATACTACAAACAATAGAAAAAAAAAACAATTAAAAATTATATGTAGTCAATAGTGCACTATTACAATAGATGTTACTACTCTATATTCTCAAGTTTTCTGTGATGTTGATCGATTTATTTGGTACAGAAATCTTTTACGTAACGATTTCATATATATTTTATTTATTTCATTATTATTATATTTATTAATACCTCTACCTAAAAGGAAAGTACCTCGTTACTAAAGAAATTAATTTTTCAGTTTGGGGGAGAGCTTCATTCCGAAATGAATGAACCACAAAATCCATACAAGATAAGTACAAGTATTACGAGATTTCAATACTGTGATGAAACCAAAGCAAAACATGCCAAAAAATCTTATTAATGCACAATGAAAATGAGTCCATCAAGTTACTGACAGAAGAAAAACATGTGTGTATCTATCTACAATTAAATACATAACAGAGTACTAGTTCACAAGTGTTACCTTTAGTTGATGGTGGAGCAAGGTCACATTGTTCACACAGCTTATGCAAACAACTTAAGTAAGAACTTTCTATACAAAGCTTACGCTAACGGATTACACTAAAATCTATTCAAATATATCATATCAATTTGTTTTTTGCATTAAAAAAAATAAAACCAAGATTAATGAAAACTAATAAACAAATTCTATAAATTTCATGTATTTTTATTAAATTGTGTGTAAATAGTTATTTATTTCTTATTAATTTCAGAAAAGTGACCATTTGAATATCAAATAATAAGAGTGACTAAGTAAAGATTTTGTTCTTTACAGATTTTTAAAATGAATCAATAAAATCTAACCAATCATAAACATTTTGATATTGAAGAATAAAACAGAATCAAATATAACCTCACCTAACTTAAACATTGGTGTTATCCGATATACTTGGCATTCAATGTACAGTATGATCAATGTGATCTTGACCAACCTATCATCCAGATGTGACAAACTTGTGAACGTGAACCCTCTATAATTGCAATTACATGTAGATTATTGTAAGGATTACTCATAAATTTAATTAAGAAAGTAATACATAGTTCTGTTAACTAGTTACAATAATTCATAATAGTTCTGTTAAAATCAAAGCTTATAAATACCTAGAGACTAACATTGATAGTTGGCTATTAAGAATTATAACATTATTACGATGGTTAATACTTGATTAAAACTAGTAAATTCAATGTTGTATTATAAAATAGGTATACCTCAGAAGGAATTACTGGAAGATACTGTTCAAAATTCGGGTCCAAAATATAAGGTAGAACATGACCATCCACTATAGCATAAATTTCCATGGCATACCCTAAAAGATGAAGTCACATATACTAATACATTTTACATCTTTTTTAAGTTTGAAGATAAATTAAACTTACCACTAAACATTTTAACCTGATGTTCATCAATCCAAAGAGAGAGATCACCCCCATTTCTTGGATGAGAAAGAACACAGGTAAAGAAAAATACTATAAATTTCAACATAGCAATTGAGAAATGTGAATACCAATTCATTAAATCTTTGAAATACTAGAATCCCTGAATGAGATGAAAAAATAAAACTTAACAACTTTAAACATAATCACAAACTAATTTGATTGAAATATAACCTGATTTTTGTATAACCTATACTTGATAAACTTTCTTGTCTTTTCATTGGCTACTTGCATATGTTGGTGCATTCAAAGCAATTATCGAGGCATACTTTTCAACGTTTGGTCATGTCACCTAAACTTTAGGCCATTAGTAAAAGTAGCTTATTTTCTCATGTTTCTTTAACATCAAATTCATTGTTTAGATAATATTGTTTCCGTGTGGATTGGTAGGTATGCTGCAAAAATAATTAATTTGAATACCCGGGTGATTCGAGAATTATTGACAATTTTGTGAAGTTTATTATTTATTCTAAATGTAATCACTTTAAAAACGATGAAAAAGCGTTGGTCCTTTTATGTACACCCTTTCTCAACTACTTAGGCCCAATCACCATTGATATTAATTTGACTTTTTACTATTCTATTTTAATTTTTTATTGTTCTTGTTTTTTAAAAAGTTACTATTTTACTCAAATTAAACGAAACCAGTTAAATTTAAACAAAAAAAAATCATTATTGAATATGTTATCTTTCCATTTTTTATAAAATAATTCCAAATTAACACGTTAAAGTAAAATGAAATTATTATTATAATAATTATTGATCGTTGAGGGGCTTAAGGTGTCTACCAGGTTTGGCTGTGCTATATGTACTTTTATGCCTTTGAATTAAAGTCCTTGTCTGGAGTTCCGTCTTAATAATTTAAAAAACATTACTGCTGGCGTGAATTCTGAGAAAAAAAAATGTGAATATGTATACACGAAGTAATTGAAGACTGTAAAGTTGAGGGACTATATACGATAGATATCCCTCTCAGTTCGCTTTGAAAAATTTCACCCCGACAAAGGAGAAGTTAAGCAGAATATTTATTTCTAGCTATAAACTGTCGTAGATTAAGGAACCTTTTAAGAATGAATTAAAAGATTTACAGAAAGTTTAAACACTGGTTTACTTTTTTTTTCTAGTCGGTCCAAGACTCCCACTGAAGTCCTATACTGCCCCCATTTGGTTTCCTTGGTTGCTTCTATCAGCTTTCTGCAGTTAAAGGTTATTAACGACTGACGGATTACACAAGATTTATGTAATCATTATGAAGTAAAACATATCAAAGAAACAGGGGTGAACAGATGGGGGTTTCATAGCGCAAGTTGCGCCATCAAAATTTTTGAGGGGGTCACTTTTTGACTGGATTTTGAATTTTTGAGGGAGGCACATTTCGACGTGAATATTCTGAGTGAAAAGTTTTAAAACAGAGAACTAGAAGATTAACATGGGACAGAACACAGAAAGTGTATTTGTATATGATCTACTAGTTGTCTAATCCTACTTTTGCTAGCACTGTTTTTGAGAAGTGGAGAGAAATACAATTTTTAGAGATCGGCGATGGTTGGTGCGTCATCAATCTTGGGGATGGGAGATGGGTACACATAACAGGTCTTAAAGTTAAATCAATGTTATGTCGTTTTTTGTAGGTAATGTCTTTTGAAATTAATATCATTACTAGACATCATTAAATGTTGTAATCGACTGAATCAATGTCCAAAAAATCAAAAAGTAGAAGCAAATATTTTTTACCGCCCACTAAATTCTGCTGCCTGGGGTACGTGCCCCTCACTAGTCCCAGCCTGGATTCTACTTTAAAGGAATATACCTTTATCTATCCAGGAAGAGTACTTTCTATGATTTTTTCACTTTCCTCTGCAACATTATTTTCGTACATCATCAACTTCGACAGAATATCTTGTGACGGTATCTTTCAATTGAGTAATCGAGAGGTTCTTTGCATCCAATCTTTATGAAACGAAAGCGATCGAAGTTATGGAGATTATTTTAGTATGATTTAGCCAAATGCACACTGAAATGATTGACCAGTACAGTCTATCATTGTAATATTGTTTTGAAAATAACTTAATTTGCAAAAATTGCATAAAATATATAATATATATGAATATATATAAATTACTTGAAATTGTATGTCGTTGGGTACAAAAAGAAAGAATAAGAATAGAAGAAATAACAAAAAAAAAAAAAAAAAAAATGTGCCAAAAGGGTGGTTGCGGCTAAATTGTCTTTGAACATGTACTCCAAAATTGTCTCTAACATGTAAATGAACTCTGAACTACCATCGCAGTGACAATATGAGACAAAAATGGATGGCGGCTTCGGGCTGCAAAATTGGATATTCATTAATTAAGTAAACTAAATAATCTAAAAATAACTCTAAAAGTATGATTTTTTAAAACCTTTTTACTATGATCGACTTTTAGTGTTAGTGAAAAAAAGTACATATCTTCTTCTTCCATGGCTCTACAACCCGCGAGGGGTCATGGCCGCCTGAAGTAAAGACCGCTATTCTTCTCGATTCCGAGCAGCCACTTTCCAGTCCCGAATTCTCAGAATGGTGCGTGCATCCTTATTCACTCCTTCCTCCCATCGCAGCCTGACCGACCACGCTTTCTGGTGGTGTGAATTTCTTCTTCGAGGGGCCTCTTTGCTATTGAATCGATATTCATCCTGGCCACACGCCAAGCCCACCTGAGCCAGCCAACCCTGGTGAAGCACACTACGCCGCAGTCCCTGTATAGCTCAGATATTTCGGCGTTTGTCCTAATCCGCCAGGCTAGCTAATGGGCATTAAAAGTTGCTTCGAAAATTCTTCTTAATCCTTTCTTTCAAATCGCAGGAGTTGATTTTCCTGGGCTTTGGATAAAGTACAGCATTCAGATCCATAGTAAAGCACTGTACAAACGCAATTTAGTTGTGCGAGACAATTTACTTTTCATCAGTCGCATTAGCCCGAAATAACATTTATTAGCTGCAATGATTCTTCTTCGGATTTCCTTCCCTGTCTCGTTATTCTGAGTTATTAAGGATCCAAGGTATCCTCAACTCTCTCAAATGAATCCGTTCAGTACTACATGAGAAGGGAGCATCCCTTGTTTGTTCGTCACCATATATTTTGTTTTTGACTAAGTTCTCGAAAGCCTCGGCCATGACTTTAAAATTTCTTCCAATGATATCAATATCATCTGCATAGCCCAGTATTTGGACCGAACAATTGAGAATTTTTCTTCAAACTTGAATGTCTGACTCCCTTGTAGGGCTGTAGCGCCATGGAGTAGGTAGTAGGTAGTGGCAAGTTCTGGCGTTTTCCTCCAGGCGGATGTCCTTGACTGTAATGAAGGTAACTGGGGTTCTATATTATTTTAAAACCATTATAGATCATTTAAGTAATAATTTGTTTTAATAATTCTTTATAATAATTTATGCCACAGATTTAATTCTCTTGCCACTATGCGTCGTAAGAGTTCTTACTAATGCCACTAATTAGTATGTAAATTAGAATTTTACCACTCCCTCTCTCAAAGGTGGTATGAGCTCTATTCTGTGTTTCATATTGTTATGTATGATCAGGGGTGCCCAGAAGGGGGTTTTATGGCGCAAATTGCGCCATAAATATTAATGAGGGGAGCCCTTTTATACGTGTTTTCAATTTTTGAGGGGGGTTCATTTCGACGGGGTTGTGAATTTTCAAAATGAAAAGTTTCAAGTTAAAAGACAATTGGAATCATGGAACAGAACACATGATGTGTAAATGTATACAATCAACGAGAGAATCACTTCATTTTCATTAAAGGGTACTAGACAATTATATTGGGTTGCTACAAACACAGCATACTTAGTAGTCATTATAGACAATCTTTTTAAAACTAATATAACAAATTCTACTTTCGTACCTTTGCACTGTTTTTAAGAACAAGAGAGGAATAAAGTTTCTTTTTATCTTTAGAATCAATCTTATATATTTAATTTATGTTTGAAGAGGAGTTGGTTCGTGTGTGCAGTCACAAGTAACAAACTATAATAAATAAAGCATATTTTTTTATTTTTGTCGACGTTTCGGCTAAAAGTTCAGATCTTTGTCATGGCTAAGAAAATACTAGATAATAATAGATATGAGAAACTAATAACGGTAAAAATAATAATATGTAGATGAAAGGTATAGCATAATAACATCTAGGTAGAATAAACTTAAAATTAATAAATAAGTGGAAAGCCAGAAATATGAAACATAAATAAATGAATTTTAAATTACGATAAAATTAGAAGTAGTTTTTAAATTTGTTAATTTATTAAATCAAGTTTATTTATTACATAGGAAGTTTGATAGAGCTTTTATTATACTTCATTGGTGTTGCTAATCGAGTTCGACTAAGTTATATTGTTTTGGAATAAAATCACAATTTGTTAAAATGTTTCTTGCTAAGAATAGGGCAGTTGTTTTAGTTAAATATAGTGTTTTTATTCCATATTATAATTCCTTCACTTGGTTAGACATAACTTCATGGTATAGTACTAGAATTGACCCTAAAATAAAGGTGGATGAAATTTTTGAGTTTAATTCTGAGACTACAGAAAGCAATAAGAAGTTGGTGATGGCAAATTTATCGGTTATTAATGATTTCTTGTCTGAAACTGAAGAGAAAAGCCTTGTGGACGAAATTGAGCCCTATATGAAACGTCTTCGATATCAGTATGATCATTGGGATCATGTTGGTGTTTTGATAGTTATTTTCTTTATTGTTTATATAATTGCATCTTATTGATTTTGTTATTAAAATTTCTTAGGCAATTCATGGCTTTAGAGAAACCGAAAGACTAAAATGGAATGAATCTAATTCCATCATATTGAATAAGATAAAATCTATTGCATTTGGAAATGATTTGACATTACCTCATACACATATTTTAGATCTTGCAGAAAATGGCTATATTAAACCACACATTGACAGCATAAGGGTATGAAGTTCTTGTTTTTGTGATTAAAATATTTTCATCATATTTGTGGCCTTTGCTGATAAGAGGGCTTGAGTGGAATTTTTGGATTTCCATTTAAGTGTTATAAATCTAATTATTTTTTCTTTCTTTGTGTCTAATGGGCTAAGTTACGTGTCTATTACTAAGAGGGAATATCCTTCTTTATTAGCCATATCTTTTGAACCATTAGGCATAATGAAAGAGGAAAAAATGAGATTCGTGAATTAGGTCAAATTTAAATCCCCAAAATTGCACTTTCAACCCATTCAGAAGGATTACAAAAATATCTTTTTGATACATAGTGGCGTATCATTTATTTATTATTCGGAGTTAAATCAAATCTTGTTTGATATGAGTTGTTATGTAATGATTAATTTAATTACTGTTTATTGAACCTGCCTGGAATGTTCATTTTAAGTTAAAGAAAAGCAAAATATATTTATTTTCATTATTATATTTTTTTAAATTTAAGCTACATTTTTTTTCAGTCCTAATAATTCTAAAATTGAGTCTAGCTTAATATTGTTATTAATTTTTTTAAGTTTGTTCAAAATCAAAATATAATTGGAAGATTCCTACTAGATAGCCATGGTTCTATAATACAGGTAAACAATTTAACTGTGGGATTACTGATTTTAGTGACTTTTTGGATGATACTAGCTCAATAAATATTTGGCCCATATCCGAGGTTCTTGTCAATCTGACCTGGAAGTCGAGACATTAACCATAAAAAAATATTAAAATTAAAATCCTTTGCTCTAGATAGGTTTATATTAAATATCAATCAATACTTATTTTATTTTCTTATATTTTTTTTGGAAAATAAAAACCTTTTTCTGATTGTATTTAATGAAGTCAAATGTATAATTAATCACATAAACCAAAAATCATTCCAGTTATGTATGCCAAGTAAATTTTTCTCATGGAAAAGCAATTGAAATTTGTTTCTAGCATCCTTTGAAACTCATAATTATGAATTTTGATTAAAATATGGAGTCTTAAATCTCTGCTAGGTTTTATGTGAATAGGTGGAGCCATGTAAAAGTATAACAATTTTTGTGATTTAAAAAAAAAAAAAAAAAATGAAGGCTATAGTCTAGGCTATGCAGAAATTTTTATTTTGCGATCACTACATATTTCACATATTTAAAAATCCTCAAATAAGAATTATAATTTTAATTGTGTAATAAACTTTTTTGCCATTGGGCAATATTGATTTCTCTTTCAAATATTGATTTGGCTTGGCTTGTAGGGTGTTAAATGAAGTAATAATTAGTGCAATATGAACTCAGAAACTAATCACAATGTATTATTAAAATTGATTTCAATTAACTTATTTTGATATGTAATAAATATAACAACTGCTCCATTGTTATAACCTTGAATAGTTTCAATAGTTTTTATGAGATCCACTAATGTTTATTGCTTTATTGTTGATATTATACACATTAAGCACGGCAATATATTGAAAATCCAGATGTGTTATTGTGTATAATATCTAAAAACATGACATAATATTGTTTTCGGACAGAATCGGCGCAACATACTTGGGATTATGCAAGCAATTTTACCCTAGATATCTGTCTAGTTTAGAAAAAAAAAATATATTGGGTATATAGCTAAAGTATGAGTACAATATTGAAACAATTTGTACTGACCTAAGGAGAAAAATGGATTAAATATGTTTTTAAGTAGAAACAATATTGAGATTTGAATTTCACTCCTTGAAAAACTCTGAAATTCAAATTTTCATAGCAATTGTAAAATTTTTTTCTTAAAACTTTCCCATAGGTTCACATAGATATGACTCCACCTACCCACTGGAAAATTAACAGAAATTGAGAGCATTATGACTATACAAAATGGCACAAGCCTGGAGATAAACAGCGCAAGAACTGGAGATATAAACAACATTTGTAGATTTTTTTTATAATGATGTTAAGTTATTGATACAATTTGGAAGAGCTATTATTCAGTTTTCCAAGATTTGTAGTAATGTTGAATCAGGAGAAAATCCTGAACAGTTACTAATGCTTTAGTGAACGGCATGAGAAAAAAATCTGGTGCGCGCAACACACAACTTTCACTTACCGATCTACTTTGAATAGAAATTATTTTCTGGCAATGCTGGGCTATTATAAATTTTTTTGAAGTGCATTTTAAACGGATCTAAAGCTTAAAGCTTACAGTTAAAAAGTCATTAAGACCATTATAATTACAAAATGTCTATCTAATATATCGACGACAGGCAATAAAAATATAGTCACTCCATCTGCTTTTATAAACCACAGAATGACTAACTCCAATTTCAACATTTTTGAGTGATGTCATTTTAGTGATATTTTTAGTTGAAAAAGTTATCTATGCAGACAATGAGTAAGTTGATTCCAGAGGTGGTGATTGCAGTGTTGAAATATAAAACTGAGAATAAAGGTATAAATTTAGGTACTTCTTTCTTATGAAAGATGTTCTTAGGAAAGATATTCTATTAAATATCTAGAAAAAAGGTTTTTTTAGTCTCAACAATTAAAAAATTATATTTTAAATTTATCCAAATTTTCGCCTCTTCAGGGAAAAAACCCATATCTTTCCTCCTAATTGTCCGATTTTTTTTTGTTTTTTTAGGAAATTCCATAACCTTTTAAAAAACCATAATACAATATCCCCAAAAAAGCATATACTTTTTGAGTTATTCGGAATTTAATTTTACCATCCCTCGTAACTTTTTTTCTAGCTTCTTTTGGTTGAAGTATGTTATATAGATAACTTTAAAGGGTGTCGAGAAAATGACTTTAATGAAGTTTGATTGAAATCGATACATTCGTTTAGGGGCTACAGTCTATAGCAACGCAGGTTTTTCTGCATTTTAATTTTTTTTCTCCTTTATCAACTTATCAAATTCTTTCAAAAGTTATATGTAGCATTTTTTTATAACTCTGAATAATGCAAAATGATTAACTTTTTAAAATAAACCATATTAAAGATACTTTAGAGGAAGACATATATGAACATTGGGCATTTAAGCCCTGTAAAGTGACATCAAAAAGGATAAGACTTAAATGATATTAAAGACCTATTAATTATACAATGGTACACCGAGTTTAATCAAAATCGTTAGAGCCGTTTTTGAGGAAATTATAAAAATGTGTTTCAGCATTCACATAAAGTGGCACTTCCGGTCAGCCGATTTTAACAAAAAAGTTGCTGTCACATCCGGCCCTTATACAAACCTTTAATACTTAATATCAGTTTCGTACTACCTTTCGTTTATGAGCTAGACTGTTAACACAGACACACAGACCATTTTGCGACACTTGGTTATATGGACTCAGGGAACCTCAAAACATGTATTTCCGTTGAAAACTGAGATTCCAAAATTTTCACGATCGCAATATTTACCCTTAATATATATTACATATATACGTAAGTGAAAGTAAAAATGTTCAAAATAAAATCAAGTTCAAATATTAATATTTTTTCTCATTTCAAATCTAAATTGGTTTTTCAACACCAAAACTTACTCTATCCAACTTTTCTGGGAGTGCCCTTTGGTTTTTGTCATTTATTTTACGTTTGAATTTTTTTAATCCTTCAATCATCACTATTTTTTTCTTATCTTTCACAAAAAATCAAAAACAAATTGATTGATATATTATAACCTAAAAATTCATAAAGAGCAAATGTAGAAAACAATAATATAAAAAAATGTTAAAATGTTATCAAATTTTTTTCTCCTATGGATTTTTATTTGGTTCCTTGGACGCATTGGTGTGAACCCTTGGATGTGGGTCTAATATCTTTTGACCTATATCACCAAAAAAAGTTGCAATGAAATTGGAAAAAAACTTATATCTGTAACTTTCACGTGTTAGTGATATTACTCGTTCTGAGTTTTTGTTCTTTTATATTAGTTAAAACTTTTATTTAAAAAAAAGTTGTTTTATAATTAATTTATGTGTTTTTTTGGTAATACTACAGTAGTGTCACATCTGGTTGACAGGTAGGGGGGCCAAGATCACAGTGTAAATGTAATGTCAAAACTAGCAGAGTATGTCCAAAAGTATAGTAAGGTGTTTGATCTTGGATCTCCCTTCCTTTCCAACCGGTGATGGTATATGTACCTACTGTACTTTTTCAGATTATTAAGCACAATAATAATAATCATGAAGCTAAGAATTTAATTTAAATAATGGTGTTTAAGTTAAGGAAACAGAAGAAAAATTAAAGTTTGTAAATACTGTCCTAAATAATGCAACAACAAAAATCATTAAATAAAAGGATCAGGTTTAATTTAAAGAAAAAAATATATACAAAGTCGGTAAATTCAGTATATTTTATTGACTTGCGTGAAATAGATAAGTTTGCATATGGATGCAACTTCATACTAACTTATCTGATACCCTTGTTAATAAATTAGTTATTTATTTAATTAAACTCTGATCTATCAAAGTCTGCAGTCAGAAGTACCTTATCTGTCTCTCATTTCTAGGACTCCAGTTTTAAAGATTTATCCTTAAGATTTTTTCTGTTTAAGGAAAAATAAAGTTATCGACAAATCTATTCTAATCTTGACTTGTAGATTTAAAATACAAAATACAATGGGATATTTTTTGCATTAAAATAGTTCTTTTTTGCAATTTTTCATGGAATAGGTCGATTTTGCACTAAAATTACTCTGTTTTGCAAGAGTTTGATTCAATTCAATTTATTAAAAAATTATTGTGTATGCTTTTAAGCTAAACTAAACATCTAATTATATCAATTAATAGAAAAAAATAAAATAAAACCCCTCAACAAATATCTGAATATTTTTATAGAAACAATTAGTGAGTAATATTTAAGAAAACATACCACCTGTGTTTTGAGTCTGAGGAAATTATTAATTTCCTACTTTGATCCACAAAAATATACTTTTCTCTTCTAGGAAATTTTCCGTTATCAATTCAACAGAAAATGATAAATCCATCATATTTTAAAGGAAA